ACACATATTTAATAAGCGTGATGTCTCTTCTCACACTTAAGCGGCTGTAACCAACCATCCCCAGTACAAACAGACTCGGATACATCAGTGGAAAACAAGGATAGATTCCGTACTGCTTAAAGTATAAAAATCGCATGAATTTATTTTGAATTTTTTCAACCATGACACTATACTTGTTTTCATGTGGATTCCAAATACTTGCGTTCGTTTCAAGTTGACTTCTCACGAGAGCATTGTATAAAATTTTAATAGTTAACAAATTCTGAAAATCCCTACACTGCCTTAATATAAATCCGAGACTCCTGAAAGCTTTTTTACAAATATTTAAAATGTGCTTACGAAAATTAAGTTCCGGGACCATCTCAACGCCTAAGTCTCTAATATATGTAACGCGCGGGATTACGAGGCCGTTCATTTCATAAGCATACCTCTGAGGGACTTTTGCACGACCATAACTCATGATACAACATTTATTAACATTGAAATTCAATTTGTTTTCCATTCCCCAATGTGCCAATCTGTCAATGTCCCTTTGCAGACTTTGGCAGTCAGAAGCATTGTTTACTTTCAAAAAAATTTTTAGATCATCGGCAAATAGCAAACACTGAGCCTCTTTAACGACCGTAGGAAGATCATTAACCATTAACATAAATAATAAAGGGCCAAGATTACTCCCTTGACTCACACCAGAATAAGTACAATACGGCTGCGATTCAAAACCTGCGAAATCTACGTATTGTTGACGTCCGCTCAGATAATTCGCAAAGAAATCTAGTAAACTAGGTGTAAAACCTAACTCCGCAAGCTTTACCAACAAGATATCGTTATCAACGGTATCGAAGGCTTTTCGGAAATCGAAATATGCAGTGTCCACCTGGCTCCCAGCATCCACTACTGGCACCACATAATTTATAAAGGACAATAAATTACTCCCAGTACTTCGACCTGGCCGAAAACCATGCTGAGCTTCAGTAAGCTGGGAGTTCACTTGATTATAAACATATTTATAAATAATCGACTCAAATACCTTAGCGATTGCACACAATACGGCCACCGGTCTATATTCATCCACCTTTGAACCCGATCCTCCTTTCAACACAGGAATCACTCGGGACACTTTCCATTCGTCCGGGTAGTAACCTTCTTTTAGAAACAGGTTAAAAATATGTAAAAGAGGCAATTCAAACACCATACGGCAGTCTTTTAAAATGAACGGCGGTATACCATCTGGACCCACGGACTTCTTGGGCTTAAGACGTGTGAGGGCGCCTCGAACATCTCGCACGTTTATCCGCCCGATATGAACAGTATTTGAACTCGTCGCGTAGCTTAACGTTTGCACGGCTGTGCGCTCCGCTTCCCTCGGATCTAAAGTGGGCCTCTCTTTACTATACACTGAATGAAAAAATGAAGCAAAATACTCTGCACAGTCCGCATCCCTAATCACTTGCCCGTCTTTAATAATTTGAGTTCTATTAAGTTTTGACTGTTTACTCCTAACGAAATCCCAAAAAGATTTTGGATCCTCTTTTATATTATTTTGTACTCTACACTGATATGCCTCGTAAGCCCATCTTATTTTATTTTTAACCACTGCACGATAGCGTGAGAATGATTCATAATCCGTCCGAGATCCCGTTATTTTAAATAATTTATGGTATTTCCATTTGAGTCTTATATCTAATATTAAATCAGCCGTATACCAATCAGGGTAAGTATACTTCGCATTATGATTACTTAAATTACGTTTCTTCCGAGTCACACATTTACTAAACTCATTCTTTATAATATCGTAAAAATAATACAAGGAGGATTTGGCAACTTCTAACAGATATAACGAACTCCAGTCAATTGAACCTAATAACTTATATAATTTGAAGAAGTCACATTTCCTAAAATTCCAACCAGAGCTTTCAATTATTATATTATTATTATTAATATTATTACCAGTTATACTAATGGGGGTTCGCCCCCTCCTCGTGTCCGCTGCCGTGATTTTTACGGTCAGAGGTGGGTGCTGCTCATCAATATTAACTAAAGACTCACCCGACAGTGATACTTCCACGTCACTTACCGGCAAGGTTGTTAATACCAAGTCCAGAATGCGATTGTTTACATTAAGCACTTCATTTACTTGACGAAATCCACAATATGCTGCTACGTACTCAAAATAGTTTTGTATTTCTAAAGTCGAAGAAGGCATGTTAAAATCGCCGATCACTAACACTTTATCATATTTAGTACACTCATTTTCTATAAGATTAAATAAATACATATATTCTTTAACATCGCATTTTGGCGGTATGTAAACAACACAACAAAAAAATAAACATTTTTCACTACGGTACACCGTCGCACAAACAATCTCAAATAAGGTCGCGTCCACATTAGCTACCGAAACGCGTTTCAAATTCAATCTGGAAGATGCAGCTAAGAGGACGCCTCCTTGTTTGCGTCCATCCACTCGATCACATCGCAGTATTGTGTAGTTTGGTGGAAAAAGTTCGCCATTATGTATTGAACTATTGAGACCTGTCTCTGTAATAGCAAACAGGTCGCACGAAGAACCCAAAAGACTGGTATAAAAATCTGCTGTTTTTGTTCTCAGTCCCCGTACATTATGATAATATAGGAGAACAGGTTTATTAGCGCTGTTCCCGACTTGCCGTTGCTTTTTGGGTGTTTCGAAACCACACCCATTCATTGTACTGAGTATTTATTGGCCAGCAATCAGTACAATTAACTCTCTCAAATTGCGATTCGGGAACACCTATCATAAAAGACGCGTAATCTCTTTTAGTTTTTGGGATTATTTTTTCAACTTTTATATCCCTCGAACCACAGATACTCTTAACATGTTCAGCTATAGCGTCTTCAGTTGTATCAGGATGAAGTGACCAAACGTGTAAAAATTTCTTTTTCTCAACCGCTTGAAACGACGAAATTAGTGTGTTTCCTCCTTTTTGAAATAGCTTAGGCTGAGTTTTCCTCACTTTTTTTTGATTAACCACCGTTTTCCACTCGCCTGATTCTGCATTTGAAAGTTGATTGATATCTGTCTTTGTTTTAAGACAGTCAGTAGACGTACTTAAACGCTCCCGCTTTTGCAATGTAGTCGCACCCTTAGCCTTAGAACGTTCAGTTGCGCGACGTTCACGCTCAGATAACGCTGGAATTTCCGTACCTGTTGCTATCTCCTTCCCACTTTGAGTCATTGGCATGGTAGTGATAACTGCCTCGCACCTATTATCAGCATTGCCCAACCGTTGTTCAATTTTAGCAGACAATTTTTTCAATTACCCGCTTCTGGTCATTAATTACAATAATATTACTTTCGATCAGCTGTTTTTGATCATCTATTTTCTTATTTTGCGTCTCAATTAACGCGGATTGTGCGGTAATTTTTGATGTTAACTCTTCTATTTTCTTGGACAATTCATTAAATGCCACTTCCACATTGAATTTGGACATTTTTACCACTTTATGCAATAAATATCAAGAAACATGCGCGCGCGGCTATGACTATGCGGAATGTCCATATACACATAATATATCAAGATGTTAACACTTATAATAACACTCCTCTACTTTCGTCGGGGGTAAAAATGAATGGCAGTGATATATCAGAATGTTTAACATGTATTGTATGACTTAGCATTGATTTCATTAAATATTTGTAGTTTCCCACTGCGTTAACGATCATATAACGTCAACTTGGCTAATATATGCATATGCCTGCCAATAGTATCGATCACAATTATAGAATACTATAATACATAATATAATGGCTGTCAACCTTACTTTGTAGAAGGATTGGCGTCGCCGATAGCACACACACAAGCAATTACGTCGTACTATCAGTTCAACAATCACTACTACAAACACATTTTAGACTTTTGATTAATGTTTTTAAATGACACATAAATGTTTCTTTATTTTTTTTCTAATACTCACAAAATATGTGTCTCCTTTATTAAAATTCCATTTCCCGCTGTTCTTTCGACACGTAATTATTGCACAATTTGGCATTTTTAAATAATTTGCATAATTTGCAACGACGCTTGACACGAAAATTGGAAACAATTGATTGTGTTGACATTTATACGTGTGAATTGACGTGTTAGTGACATTTTAGTGGCTACACGGGCTCCGCCCACTCCCTCGTTCTATTATGTATGTTATAGTACCTATTCTATGATCACAATAAATCCTTGATATATACAAATAACCAACTCACTAGTGATGAAATGGCGATTATGATATTTCACTTGATTAAAAATAAATATTTGAAATATATGGTAGGTTTTAAGTGGGAAAATACGAAATTTTCTCCAAATTTCAACCAAACCCGCAAGTAGTGCACTTAACTAGGTAATAAACATAGGTAACTGATATAAAACAGATTCATAAAAGATCATTCAGAACGTCAGTAACTGAAGCATATTACAATAAAAAACTAAATACAAAATTGGAGGTCGTTAGTTCGTTAGTGTAGTAAATCGTAGCAGACCAGCCCCTACGCGCATAATTCGTTCCCAAGTATTTCCCTAAGACACTAAAGAACAGTAATTTACGTAAGCATGAGTATGCTTGCGTAAATTACTGTTCTTTAGTGTCCAAAGCATGAGTACCCAAGTAAGTGAAATATCGAGCAATACCTCCTCAGGCCGAGGTAGCTCAGTGGTTAACGCTCGCTGTAAATATAACAGAACGCGAGTAACCCGGTTTCGATCCCCGCCGGCACCAATGAAATTGTTAATTGCAATTTTAAGTGCTGATTTACCACGTGCTCGGCGGAGAAGGAAAACATCGTGAGGAAACCTGCATGTCTGAGGAATAAGAAAAAAAAATATTTCGAAGACATGTGAAGTTCGTCAACATGCATATGGGCAGCGCGGCGGACACTTCCTTGCCCTAAACCCTCTTAGAAATGAGGGGAGGCCTGAGCCCAGCAGTGGGACGTATATAGGCTGTAACTTTACTTTACTTTACTTTTTTACCTCCTCAGGACTGGAGTAGTCGAGATCGATCTCAGTCCAGGTGTCTCCATCGGGAAGACAACGCGGTCTCTGCGCGTCCGCCGCTCGACGCAACCACTCCCGCACACTCGCGTCCGCGCTGTGATCGCATAAATCCTCCAGATTCTCACTTATATTTGATTCACTGGCTGTGTCCGTTATTGTAGAACGGTCTATATCTGAAAAAAAATTATTTAAAAAAAATCAAGTGACAAATGCTAAGGCTTGCTTTTTTATTTTAATGGCATTGACGTCAAGGCCATTAACTTGACCGTGTAGTGGTGGTGTAAGAATATCCACTACTCCATATCGGCGAGTGGGTGTCGTAAGAGACGACAAAGGGAAACTAAAGCAAAAGATGAGCAGCATCTTTCTGACAACAAAACAACATAATAAAAAAAAATCCTTCCTTTGAGACAATTTATAGGAGAGTCCTATATTTAACTGTTGACTTTTGCAGGCTGTCACATTACGATGATTCTCGGAGATTTTGACGACAGTTCTACAGAAAACCTAAGCGAGTGAGTCAATGGCTTAAATATCCCATGGTGGTAAAAAAGGGTAAAACGTTTATCTCCATCGGAACACTTGTCGTTTTCATCAATTGTTCACATGCGTGGTCATTTATCACATACAATCTCATCATATTCGCGTATCAAAATTAGCTATAAAGGTTATTTATGGTATAAAGACACTTCTCACAAGTTCTCGCAAAAAATTTGATGTTGTTATTTTTTATTTATTGTGACATTGGGTACAAGGCCTTCAGCCTAAAAGAATACAATACATCATACGCAGTAATACATTACACAAAATGTAAGTTAACTTTATTTACAATATGTTGATTTGCAGTTTTTTGAAGATTTTGAAGCGTTTGTTTTATCTTTTTTTATAGAAGACGAAGCAAACGCACTTGCGGCTTACCTCATGGTAAGTTTATGTATTCTGATGT